GATTAAAGAGAAATGTTACTATATTTCGTATATGAAAATATTAGAAATGCTGTTTTCAAGTTATCCTAATATAAAAAATTATATTCCATGCTTTAATAACACATACGTTATGATAAATTTGTCCCCAATTTCTTATACTTTGTTAAATTGTTCCAATATTTTTGTTAGTTCTATGATATAATAGTTGTTCAGGATAATTTTATAAATATGCAAAATATAATTAGCAATGATTATTAAAAAAATAAAAATTGAACAGGTTGAGAACAACTGTTGGAGCTAAGTTACTTTAAAGTTGTAATTTTTCTATTCTGCGCATGTACAGTCGAAAATTTTGTTAAATTAATCATGTATCTGTACATTTTAATAATTTTTCATATTAACACTGGTTACGTATATAACCGGTAATACAAAGATAAAAAAATTTTCTCATTTCACGTTATACCATGCAAAAATGCGTTTCAAACAAATAGTGCACAAATAATTGCATACCTCAAAACATGATAAACTTACCAATTTTTCCAAACGCGGACAACCCATAGCTAAATGAATGAGTGTTGCATCTGTTATGAGAACGCACTCCTCTAAATCCATTTTTTCCAATAATCGACAGTTCTGCCAAAGATAATTTTTTTTTTTTTTTTTTTTAATTCAAACATTTACTTTGCGAGTAATTACTGACAGTACTATTGAATACAGTTTTAAAAAGCTTATCTTTACTTAAGGATGGAATTCGTGTAATTTCCTCATTGATAAAAATGCAAGTATAATATTTACTGCACCTGGTTATAATTAAAAAAAGCCTAATTCCTGTGTCTTGGAGATTTATTTAAATTATAACATTTAGTAGTATCCAAAATTGCCATGACGTGACACTCTGCAATACTATGAGTAACATTGATTACTCGTGTGAATTGTGTAAAAAATACGTTTTGCATACTTGTGGGATAATTTTGTGTTCTACGGCTTTTCCTTCATATGATTTATTAGCGCAATTATCACTGTATGTGATCAAAAATAAATTTTCGGCACTCATCGCATAATTTTCTTACAAAAATATTGAGAATGAAGATATTAGTTGTTTATACTGCTACAAATAAGTTGAAGTTATATAAAGATTAAAGAGAAATGTTACTATATTTCGTATATGAAAATATTAGAAATGCTGTTTTCAAGTTATCCTAATATAAAAAATTATATTCCATGCTTTAATAACACATACGTTATGATAAATTTGTCCCCAATTTCTTATACTTTGTTAAATTGTTCCAATATTTTTGTTAGTTCTATGATATAATAGTTGTTCAGGATAATTTTATAAATATGCAAAATATAATTAGCAATGATTATTAAAAAAATAAAAATTGAACAGGTTGAGAACAACTGTTGGAGCTAAGTTACTTTAAAGTTGTAATTTTTCTATTCTGCGCATGTACAGTCGAAAATTTTGTTAAATTAATCATGTATCTGTACATTTTAATAATTTTTCATATTAACACTGGTTACGTATATAACCGGTAATACAAAGATAAAAAAATTTTCTCATTTCACGTTATACCATGCAAAAATGCGTTTCAAACAAATAGTGCACAAATAATTGCATACCTCAAAACATGATAAACTTACCAATTTTTCCAAACGCGGACAACCCATAGCTAAATGAATGAGTGTTGCATCTGTTATGAGAACGCACTCCTCTAAATCCATTTTTTCCAATAATCGACAGTTCTGCCAAAGATAATTTTTTTTTTTTTTTTTTTTTTAAGTATCAATCATCATNTAAATGAATGAGTGTTGCATCTGTTATGAGAACGCACTCCTCTAAATCCATTTTTTCCAATAATCGACAGTTCTGCCAAAGATAATTTTTTTTTTTTTTTTTTTTTTTTAAGTATCAATCATCATTTAAAAAAGACAGTACGGGTATTGTATATGAATGTGTATTACCCTAGCGAGCGCTTGAAAGCCAGCATCTGTAAAGTGATTACAAGCGACACACTCGAGTACGCTAAGGAGAGGACAATATTGTGCAAGTGTAACGAGTGTTGCATCCGTCAAATTCGGACAATTCGAAATGCAAACGTAGTGTAATCGAGTACATCTTTCGCCTAGTTCCCTCACGGCGTCGTCGGTGATATTCTAGAACGAGTTGTAACAAACACGAATATTTTTTTTTTTTTTTTTTACCGTAGACTATTCTAGAACGAGTTGTAACAAACACGAATATTAAAATATTTTCCAATCTACCTAAATTAAAATAGTTTTATGTTCACATGCCTAAATCAAAATGCATTGCTTTTAATTTGTCTTGTTGTGGACAACGTCTTCAAAAGCATAATAATTTTTCAACAGACGTTGGTGTAAAAAAGTAATTTTCTCGTTGAATTTTGTGCGACATATNTTAATATTTTCAATCTCAAAAATCATATCTAGTATGAATTTAGATTCATTTTCTAGCCGAATTCAACGCATCAGCACAAATAAACCCTCAAAATCTATCGACACTTGATTACTGTTTGACGATGTTTACTGATCTTTATCATATTATATTTAGTAAATAAACGAATAATTTATCATACAAAAATACGAACCATACTTTAATCTACCTAAATTAAAATAGTTTTATGTTCACATGCCTAAATCAAAATGCATTGCTTTTAATTTGTCTTGTTGTGGACAACGTCTTCAAAAGCATAATAATTTTTCAACAGACGTTGGTGTAAAAAAGTAATTTTCTCGTTGAATTTTGTGCGACATATGACACTTGTATGGTTTTTTTTTGTTTTTGTTTTCTCCTTCCAATGATGATCGAATAAAAACGAAAAACGTATAAAAAAGAATTAAAAAAAAAAAAAAAAAAACGAAATAAAATGCAAATGTCATGAATTTAACTCTTCAAAATACGACTGCACTTTTAAACATGTGATCGCTCAAACGTTCGCAATACACAGCAACGACTGCACATCAGAGCTCAACGAGATAACCCGTTACTTTGCTGGTTAGCAAGTGAGAGAAAAACGTGAGACCCTTTTTTTTTTTTTTTTGTTCTTGTTACTGCGATTCTTCCAAGGTGTATCAGACTGGTTTACCTCACGAAATTTAATTTTCATTTTCCCCGTAAAAATAGGTAAATGGACAGTACACGCAGAAGAGTCCACTTGCCGCTGCGGATACTATTATGTATGCTAACAAACACCAAACATTAGTGCTCGTTAGACGTAAAACGTAGTACCAGAAGTCTAACATCGTACGAAATCACAGAATAACGCAACACCGACAGTATCGTTGTCGGGAGGCTCCTGCGCTGGGTGGTGGTGATACTGGTGCGAAATAAGCGTGAACCTTTATGTTTGGCAGGTGATTCTGGAACGAGAAAACGAGCCGTTGATTCATCATTTATCGTTAATTCGATTATTTTTCAAAGTCTTACCCGAAGTCTACGTATACCAGCTCTGGTGATCAATTGGCAGTCATAGAGCTCGATGCGCTCGAGATTGTGGCAAGCTTGTAACAGGTGATCGAGACTGGCGTCGGTTATCAGAGGGCAGTTGTCCAATTCCAGCACGGCTAGATGTTCAGCGGCACACGGTGAAAGGGCCAGTTGCCTTATCCCTTCGTCGGTTATCAACTCGCAATGCGACAGGCTCTTTAAAATTATTTAATTTCAGAATCATACTTTGAGGAAATGTTGGTCAAGTTTGCCTATAATATTCAAGCAAATACTAAAATGTTCTTGAACAATTTTCACGTGTGTATTTTAGCATGATTTTCGTAACTTAAGTATTTGAATTACAGGGGAATTCCCTTATGTTTATAGTTTTTTGAAAATTATATCGACAACTTTATTTCTTATTCGCAGCTTTTTTTTTTTATTATAATAGACGTCGCAAAATTTATATTTTCAAATAATTACCTGTAGTGTCAGATGTGTATACACACGTCCTTTGTTTGAGCGAATGTGACCGCAAGCATATACGAATGCGAATGAAAAACCCATCGGGTCCAGTTTCGCGGTACAATACAAGCGATACACATAAAAAAAAAAAAAAAAAAAAAAAAAAACAATTCGAAATAATAAATAGTACGGATCATTTCGTTAGTTGTTTAAAAACTAATTTTACGTTTAAACTTTTATTACTGAAAAAAATAATTCTCTTCGAGTCCANTTTTTTTTTTTTTTTATTATTCATGAATTTAACCATAAAATATTTTTTTTAAAATTTTTAAAGTAGTTTATGTACACAACTCTTATTACTTGAAATTTATATAAGTTAGAATCATCTCCACATACCTTAAAAGTAACTCTTTTGGCAGTTTTTTATTAATTTGGGCCTCGTCATCATGAAAAACCCATGTCAACTATAAAAAAAAACAAATGATGTTATATTGTAAATAATCCTACTGCACAATTGCAAACATGTAAAACGAAATAGCTAGAAACGTTATGAACAATAATTTTAATTTTACCGTAATTTTCATACACAATTAAAAAATAGTGAACTGTTATTTATTATAACTTTTTGCTTCTTTTATCGGATCTACTGTATAACATGTTTTTTGTAATAACTGTACTGTTGGTCAATATTGAATGTGTAAAAAAAACGTGGTACAAATATTTGTTAAGTTTATAAAAAAATCATTTGACTATTGTACATCGTTAAAAACGAATACTAATTTAATTTGTACCTCAAACGTGCACTAAAAATTTTATTTCTACAAGATAAAAACGGAGTTGAAAAATATATCGGAACAAAGAACACCGTGGATGTGTTTTTTTTTTATTTTTTTTTTCGTTATACTCTTAGCATATTAACACACAAAGTTTGCGCATGCGATTTGAGAAACGAGTAAAAGTAGACATTTTATTAAAAATGTCATAATTGTTTTACTTATCGTTGAAAAATCTCAACGACAAATAAAAGAGAAGAACAATCAACGCACCTCGGCACTCAACAGCAAGAAAGAAGTGAATAAAGGAGTACAAGTGTCAGTCTTTTGAACGTAATAAAGGGTAGACAAATGAGACGCGAGCATCGAACGAATCAGCTGTTTACCTCGACAAAGATAGCACCAAAGAGAGGCGAGCATTACTTCTAGAGTTTTTATCGTAAATCATGATGTTATTTACAACAAAGGTGGCAATGATAAATACCAATTGTGGCATTATCAACACCAACAAACACACAATGGCATTTGACATTCCGATTGTTGCTTCTAAATCTAAAAGTCTTAAAATTGCATTTGCAAGGAGGTATTGGTAATGTGTACAACATAAGTATGAGTGTGTGTAGAATGTACGTGCGAGCATTTTTACGTGATAAAAAAACACACACACACAAATTGCACGTTTAAGGAAACTTTGTGAATTATTTAGAATTGGTGTGCACTTCACTCGACACTGAAATTAATGTTAAAAGACAAGTGCGTACAAACTTGTCAACTCGAAAGCAGACAATGTTTACCTCGAGCCTCGTACGCCCCGAGTGTATCATCCTTTTGCGTCGCGTTATTTTGCAAGAGTTTCGGGAACACCCGACCACAGCGTAAAGAAAAAAAAAAAGGAATATGTATTAAAAACCTCGGATAACCTAGCGACGAGCGGAGCGAGAAAAAAACTTCAGCTTCGGTAAAGAAATGGCCGAGTCTACTGAGACGAACAGAGGCAGACGGTATATGGTAGTAGCAGCCAACAGCTTGGATCTGTGTGCTCGTACTGTAAGGTCAACGAAATTGTGTGCTGTATTCCATCGGGTAAACGACTGAAACGTGCCTTAAATATATTTTTTTTTTTTTTCTAGTAAAGATAAGTGTATGATTTATTAAAAAAAAAATTGAGTCATTACAAGATGGCTGTTCCAATAGTCGATAACTAATTTTTGAGATTCTTTCAACGCATTGTAACGTTTCCTTGAAATTTCAAAGGCTTGTATTTAAAATTAAACCATACAAAGATCGAATATTGGGACGTCAAAGTTAAAAGGTATAAAATGAGGTATAAAATACGTTACTCTGCACTCGTGAAGGTTTATCGTTTCAAGTTTCGGGCAAAAGCGCGCAAGGCATTTGACAGCTCGATCAGTAAGTTGTCGGCATCCTTTGCTGAGAAAACTGCGCAATTCCGGGCAACCTCGGGCCAAAGCCTCGACGCCTTTGTCAGTAAGGAGCTCGCACCACGAAAGATTAATATGAGTGAGCAAGGTGCAACCATTCGACAGGCTCTTCAGAGACGCGTCCGTTATTTCTGGACACGAATCTAAATTTAAACGCTGGAGCTTAGGACATTGTTCGCTTAGCGCTGCACAAGTCGCATCCGAAATTTTTTTGCACTGGCTCAAATTTAGCTCTTCGATATTTGGACAGGACTGGGCTAAGGTTTTCATCGACAAGTTACCTATGCTTTGACAACCGCGCAATGATAGCACGCGTAGGAAGCCGCCGCATCTCCGCGATATATTTTCTATGACTGGTCCCTTTAAGCATGACATTATAAAAAAATACAAAAAAAGTATTAGTTAATAATTTATACAATACTAACGAATTGTGTGCGATAAGATGGAATGGATGAAATTATAAAAAGAGGTTATTTTTTACCTCTACGTCCCGCTGAAAGTCGAATAGATCTATTCTTTGCCAATTCGAGCCATCCAGGGCTAATACATTCCATGCTTTACTTACTTGGGCACACCGACACAAGGAAACAACATCTAAGTATGACAATATTCTGAAAATATATGCAATTTTTAATACTCTTCAAAGATACTGACTTTTTTTGCTACAATCAAAGTCTTTTTTTTTTTTTT